TCAATGAAGTCGAATGAACAAACGTCTCCAGTGATCAGCATGCACGAGATTCTCGGTAGAGAACCGGAAGCCCTACCCTGCATAACAGTCTTCCTACTTATGCGCTCATAGAAATCATTCAACTGGGCATAAGTGCAAACCATCATCGCAGTATGGAAATTTATCGCAAATCAGATGGGGACGATCGAATGGGTCATAAATTGCTTACGTTGGCTCATTTTTGTAAACAGTAAAGGTTCGATGAAGAGCGTCCAACCCAATTTCGATTGAGCAGCAAAAAAATGGAACAATAATAAATATCACATTTCGATTCGCAGCCTAAACCCATGTGCTTTGCTCTTTCGCTTCGCAAGGCGCTTATCGCATCTTTTCCTTTATTTCATTAAACATTATGATTGTCGCCGAGTTCGTTGCTTTCCGAGAGGTCTCTGTCAGCATAGATTTTTTTTTTCTCTGTCGAACGTCGTTCGAGTTCTCCCGCGTAGAAGCCGGGTGCAGTGCGGCGGAACAAAATGTGCGAAACACATGTGCGAGCGCGCGGGTTTGTACTATTCTTATGATGGGTTTTGTGAGAAGAGGGTAGGGATATGGTGGCTGGTTGGTGATCGACTGGCCAGCTGATGACGCGAAGAGAGTGTTGAAGAAAGGAAGCATAAATAATGTACATATGTAATACATATGAGTCACACTCAGTCGATCTGACGACAGGGCATATTTTGTGATGCATGATGTTTATATTGGGATATGAATAAGGGCAGAAGGAGAACGAGTAGCAAAGTTTGTAGGTTCTCAAATGAAAGAAAATGATGAATATTCGGGCATTCTAGGGAGGTTTTGCTCAAAAAAAATGGCATCAATGCTGTGCAGAATTTTAACGGATTGCCAACAAAAGTTACGCTCGCTTGAGAAGTTTAGTTGTAAGGGGTTGTCCACATTCCACGTGGACAGCTTTTGAGAGGTTTTAGACCCCTGCGTGAACAATCATCCACAAATTTTTAAATTTTTTTTATGGATAGCCCCTAACAACGTTTTAGAACAATTTTTGACGCACTGTAGAGAAAATCACCATAGTGCAGACCAGGCATGGAACATCATTTGCATTCATTTCATACATTCATTTACATTCATTTGCCTCTAACTTTTTTCATCAACAGCATTCCGCAAAATGATGTATAGAGTTTTTGTAGGTTTTGTTATTAGCTTCAAGTTTTGCTTATAACTTAAATCTGTATCTCTTATTCATCACGAACTAGAGCGGGCAGAACTTGTTACTGTTTTTCAGTGAATGTAAAATAAATACATTCACTGAAAAACAGTAGTGGCTTCTGTTCGCTCTGCTTCGACATGCATAAGAGATACGGATTTTATATTGTTAACAAAAGTTGTCGCTAATAACAAAACCTACAAAAGCTCTATACATCATTTTACGGAATGAATGCTGTTGAAGAAAAAAGTTAGAGGCAAATGAATGCACGAAATTAATGCAAATGATTTTCCATGCCTGGTGCAGACAGTACTTAAATTTACGAAAATATGTCAAATGTTAAAAATTGCTTACGAAAAGATCTTATTATCATGATTTCGACATCTTTATCTAATTCTATTTCTCCTGTGTTCTCCTATCAATGGTTCACTTTCAGGTTGACAGTTTGGAACATGTAAAAACACAATTCTAAATATTTAAAAAAAAACCTAGCGTTATAAAACGATACATGAAAAATGTTCTATTTATTTTTTAGTTTTCGCGGTGTACGTGGCTCTAGATTTATTGAAACAAATTGATTTTAAATTTAAACAATTTAAGAATTTAGCGCTAGATTTCAGCTAAAGTATGGTTCTGATATTGATTCATCAGAAGTGAAATTTTTTAATACACAGATGAAAGAACTTTTACCTGGCCTGAGCTTTTCGACTTATTTAGACATCATGAGCTGTATTCTCGGATATTCTCTCCAAGATGTTTATCATAACAGCGAAACGGCTCTTTGATTTTTTTTTAGACTTTCTATTATGCTGGAATCGTTTCAACTTAGCTTCAGCGAACTTAGCATATAAAAAAAATCATCTACGATCCAAAATGAGCCAATACGGACTCTCTGGCTTGGTTAATCTTTCAACTGAAAAGGAATCGCTTGCAGAGCTAGATATGGATGCTATTTTGGATCAGTTTGCTGCAGTTAAAGCTCGTATGGCTAAAATTTAAATTGATTTTAAGTAACGATTGTCATGGCCTTACAACCTCTAAACATATGAATAAAGCTCCTGGATGTGATAAAAATGAATTTTATTGCTGTATACATTTAATTGACTCAACTTATCACAAATTTGTGCGTGTAATAATAAAAATTTGATAGAATTCTCCAATATTTTAAATAAATTATGTCAAATACTTACAATGCAAATACAACAAAAAAATTTAAAAACGGTAAAATTTTTATGATTTGCCAGGGGCGTTGCCAACCCTCACTACGCCTCTGATTGTCACGTAACGCTCAGATTCGTTTACCTTTACTTATCAATTTTCATGAAATTCGTTTGATTTGTGTTGAATGGATTATCCAAAAATACCTTAACCACAGACAAACAGACATAACACTAACAAGTTGTTCATCAAACAAGCATTTAACGGTCAATTTAAAAGTCTCTCAGTTGGTAGTGATACCTGTGGCGCGCATAGTCAATTCCCTTGCGTTTGACGTTTACACACTACCGCCATCTGTTTAGCGTACTACCCACCACAGTGTACTCAACAGATGGCGGTAATGTTTTAGCGACGATGTTTTACAATGAGAAGTATTCAATGTGTTATGTCTGTTTGTCTGTGCCTTAACGTTTCGGAGAAACAAGATGTTTTCAGCTCGCATAAGAACAGTTTTATTTGGTTTTATCACACCCTTGTAGATCATGATTTAGACTTCAAGAATGCATTAAAGCCTCCATCAAACTTGGGTCGTTGCTTGGGTATTGATCAAATACAGTAACGATTCGATTTTGTCAGCCCCCTTTTTGATTTTTTTTTTCTGATGATCTAAGAAACCCATGCGCTTTTTCAGTGGTCTTAAACATCCATATTGAAGATGAATGAGAAAGATTTGAAATTACGGTTATGTAAAATTATTGAAAGATATAATTCGGATGCGTGGAGGAGCTGACAAAGTGGGTAATTACTGTACCATACATTTTTAATTTTCTATAGTTTAATTCAAAATTCAATATAGGTCTCACTTGTCAGTTGTACGGAGAGGCGCATTTTTTTATTCAAGATTTGTTCAAGTGGAATAGTTTGCTTTTTATGTACATGTGCAGCAGTTTCGATTATTTTGAGTAATTTCTCTCTCTTCAACTTCAAGTTCTTCTTGAAAACATGAGCAGTCCATAAAGCGATAAAATCAAACGAACAATCTTACTGCAAATCCTCGAAAGTCATGTCGCACTCTTGAAGTGAACAGTAGCGTGTTATATTTTGAAAAAGTGTTAGATTTCTTATAGGCCACTCTCCAGTTTGATTCCTAACCCAAAAATATAAGTCAGTGCAAAACAAGGTAAAGATCGATGAAGGTTTAGTGATCACGCAAATGTTTTGAAATTTGTATGGAAATTACTATTAAATAATTTTAAACTTCACTTATATCCATCTAACTTTGATTCTACCTAGTTGTCCAATCAGCTTGACAGCAATTCAAGAAAGATGCTGCACTTCATCACATTGCAAGTTTTTGCATCAGACTTTTATATTTCAATAATTTCACATAACCGTAATTCCAAATCTTTCTTATTCATCTTAAAAAAATCAATATCACAGTGTTTTCATTAAGATGATTTCTTGAGGACCTCAAATTGGCCGTCATGATTGTTGTTCTGCCCTATCATTTCAAGTTTTCTAGGGCACACATCTCGGACACTGTTGTGACATCTTTAATGAAATTGGAATTCCAATAGTAAGAGTAATCAGAAATAAGGATTACACAACGATTCACCTCAAGTTCTTCTTTTCGGTTGTTTGGGATACGATATTCAGATACAAGCACCTTAAAGTTAAACAAGTTAAACTTCTACGACTTTTGTAGTATATCTCTGCTAACCGAACCACGTTTACATCGGTTCAACAACAGCTTCCCTGAAATTGTATCTTCTCCTAATTTTCCGAAAGATATTCGATTTGTATAAATATGCAACGTCATGAAACTGCACATAGAATCACATTGCTTGAAATGATACAATTTTATTAGTTTTGTAACATAATTAACCACATTTTTTTAATTGTCAATACTAGAGAGGGTCTAGTATTAGAGAGGAGCGGACTGGCTGGTTTTCAGCCAAACGAACTGTCAAAGTCAGAGCCAATGGAGCAGTGCCTATCTTGATTACATTGGCAGTTTTGCTAGAAAGGGTGAAAGACAGTTCAAGATCAACAATTGAAAAGGCCTCAACTCCATTTTGTAAAAAAAACTTGTATGGCCATTTTCTCGCGAACCGAAGTTCGCCAACGCAAACCAACAAAACGAACAGGTAGGGGAAATTCTCTTCTATCCGATTGTGTTTAAGGTTTGCGAATGTAGGTTTCGGTTCGCGAGAAAATGGCCTTCCAAGGTTTGTTTACAAAATGGAGTTGAGGCCTTTTCAATTGTTGGTCTTGAGTTTGTTTTGAATCCGCTAATTTCTTATACTAGACCCTCTCTAGTCAATACCTACACCGTTTGAAAAATTCATCTAAAATTTCTAAGATACATGGTGCTGTTTCGGTCAAGCAAAATCTAATTTTCGGCAAACTATAATTGAGTTTCAAAATCACGGTTATGAGTATTGATACAATTTTTACAAGCGGTAGAATATGTAGATCGGTCACCCTATAGGAAATCTGCGCCTCCGGAAAGTGAATTAATTCACTGACCCTTCCGAACGTATTCCAAGAACCGAATGGTAACGGGAACATTGAACTTATACCTAACTCCCTGCTAGAAAAAATCAACCCCGTGTACATAAGAGGGCCGCACCCCACCCCATTTGTGCCATATGCTTGCACAGTGAGAGATCCTTCCTAATGCCAGACCCCTCGACAAAGCGAAGGGTTTCCGACTTTATCCTGTGTTGAAGTTTTTCATAACTCTCTTTTGGTGCACCATTCGGCGACATCAGCAGCAGCACCAGGAGGCATTGCTAGCTGCAGTTGCGTTCATTACAGTTACAACATTTCCCTAGCACCAAACGTATCACTATCGCTGCCAAGAGTGTGTTTATCAGCGCACTGTTCTGTTTACTCAGCTTATCTTAATGTCGTCACACGATTCGCTCAGCCTCGCAGCAGTGAAGAACATACTCTCAAAAGCGAGCTCAAAGTCACTGGCCCCTCTGCGTGTGATTAGTAAGTAATGGTAAATATTTGAATCTGGTTCAAATCTTTTATTTATAATCTTCAAATTTCTCACGTTTGCCGTCGTAGAAAATAACCGTCGATTATCTTGTTACTCTCTTGTTCCAGTTCTTCGACGGTCGTTACCATTTCACGCGACGACAGTAGTGTCACCTCGGGGTGACCTACGGGGAGGAAGTCACTATAGACATCGAAAAAGGTTCGTCGCTGTGAAAAGAATAAATTAGAATTTCAATTCAATTTCTTCCCCGTACCGAATGGAATGAATATTATATAAAATCGGAGCAACGCAAGCAAGGAAAGAAGCGAATGTGTTTATGCATAATGCCGGCTGGCTCGGTTGGACACAGTCGAGTGTGGCAAAGGTACGCTCGACTAAGAAAGTAGTGAAGTAAAGTCGCAGGACAATACAAGCAGTGCGGTGGTAGTTAGTAGAACGAAACTCCATTGAAATGTAGCAGTGATGTAATCAGTTGCTTATCGCTATCTGGTGGTGGTGTTACTAACACGTATCGTTACATTCTACTTTATCACTAACAACAAGCAGTGCGATGTGCTAGTCGTATTGCACCAAGGAAAAGGAAACCAAAGACGTTCAGTGCCATATTTACAAAGCGTTAGTCAAAGTTGCTATGAGAACTAGGAAGTACAACTGTGCATTTAAGTAAAATTCTATCCTATCGCTGTCTTAATATCATTTTCCTTTTGGTGAATTGCTCTAATAACAAATTAAACGAAAAAAATGAAACGTTCTCGACAAACCAAAGCCACAAAAGCAACCTCTGGTGCTGTGAAACGGAAAGCTGCGGCCGCCCTCAAGGAGGAAAGTAACAATAATGTACCTCCGGAAGCGCTTCAAACTGTACCGAAGCAGCCAGCGGTTCATTCGCAGCAACCGATTCTGCCCGAATTGGAAGATTTTGACAATGGTCTGCTCGTGCTGGCGGTCGATAACAACGAACAACCCGCCTCTCCTGTGATGGATACGTCCAATGAGGATACGTCCGAAGTCAGCAGCAATGGACACAAATCTCAAAAGAAAAAGGAACGCAAGCAGTACGTGTGTCATGTGTGCAATAAGAATTTCATGGGAGCGAACGATCTACGGAAGCATCTGCGCATCCACAACGATGAGCGTCCGTACGCTTGTCCGCACTGTGACAATCGGTTCCGCCAAGCTGGTTGCCTCAAGAACCATATTGCTTCGCAGCACGGGACAGATACGCTGTACACGTGCGATCTGTGCGGCAAAACTTTTCCGATCAAGGAGCGATTGCGGTTGCATATGCGTGTGCACACCGGTGAAAAGCCGTACAATTGTCCCATTTGTCCGAAGACGTTCGCACGAGGTGGTCAGGTGAGTGTTTTTTTTTTAATAAATTTAGAGCTTATTGATCAAAATAGTCTCAGGTTCGGGACGATTGAAAAATTTCAATTTTTAACCTCCTTTGTGTCACACATTTTCACATATTTAATTCACGTACTATCACAATTTAACCCGTAGTTTAAAGAGGCAGATATAATGTTATTCAGTAACCATGCAATTTCTCAGTGTCACTCCTTAACTAACGATAATGCTTACACATTCTTGTTTTCCATTATATGTACTTAACGATACTTACCATTCCCTCAATATTTAACATGCCTAACCCTATTAATATTTAAATGCCTTGTTAAGGGATGGTATTACCAAGCCGGAGGCGGCGGGTGCGACATCCCTGGGCGCATAGACTAGCATATCGTTAAAAGTTCTCAAAATTCGTCATTGGTTGAACATCGATGATCTCTTAGAAGATACATACATTTAGGCGTTTACTCAGCTAGTTTCTGTGTATTCATTAAACATTGAACATGATTCGAAAATGACCAATCTTCCGTACATGATATCATGGTTAAGCATGTCAGTACTTATTGTGGCACCAAAATAACCAATGAGTTAGTTCAAGCAATCATTGAACTTGTTTTTTAAAAAATTTTGCGGAAATCCAATCAATTTTTTTGTAGGATTTAAACTACTGCGTCCATTATTGATTCGAACTTTTGTAGTATATCCCTGTTTAATATACGCATCACCATTAATTGAGTGATCAGCTAGTTGCCTCGACACGTTCCCAGTCAGGTCAGGTGGTTTATGAAACCAATCACTTTCCAGGATTAGCAGACCAAATTTCACTGGGCTGTAAACAACTACTATCAAGACATTTATCGGTGCGAATTTGTGGAATCTAAAACTTAACCAAATTATTTCTTTGAAACATGTTTCAGGATATGTTCGCACATTTCAAGGATTTCTTTAGGCTCATTCCAAAATGTCTTCATAAATTCTTTTAATTTAAAGATTTACCTCAATAATCTTCTGGTTTTGGCCGGTAATACCTATAAATATGCTCCATAAAAGTTGGGATTTTGTGTAGAACACATTAGGAATTCGCTCCATAAAACTCGTGAAATTAACTCTACATTTATCTTTGTATTCTTAAAAATTCTCTAGGGAAATTGCTTTAATTTTTCTCCATTATATTCTTTACAATTCGCTTGGAATATTCCTGGAAATCTCTAGGTATGCCATTAAGAATTTAGAGAAGTCTTATCACATCTTGCATTTCACCTCACAATTTCTTTGAAATGCTTCTAAAAATGCTCTTAAGGAAGATCTCTTGAAATACTCCTTCGAATTTTTTTTCGAAATATCCTGGATTACCTAGAGTGTCTTTGAAAATATGCACAATATTTCCAGCCAATTCCTTCCAAACTTTATGACATTTCTTCAAATTTCTCATTGAAACTTGCTTCAGACTAGTTTAAACTTCTACAAAAATTAGATTCCTTTGGAATTATTATCCATATTTCGTTGCAGTTCTCCTCACAATTTCTCTGTGATTAATCGATCGATCAACAAATTTTAAGCAGTGCGTGGAGTAGGTTAGTAGGTTCAGGATTGTAGTCATATAATCATTTAATTTACCGCATGGTCAATTCACTTGAAACCTTCTTCCAAATTCCCTTGGAATGCTCCTTGAAATTTCCTCCGATTTGTTTTTGAGTTCCGTTGAATACTACTCATAATCTACGTAATAGTCTCTTTAGATCTACCTTAAAAACCACGTGTACACCTTAAAATTTTCTTGAAATATTTCTCAAAATAACCAGAAATTTCTAAACAAATTCCAGTGAAAGTCTCCCCAGAATTCATTTGGCATTCTCATCATAATTCTCTATCCAATGCTTCGAAGCATTAAGGTTCAATTTACTTTGATGCATTTTCGAAAAATTGGAAAGCAGTTTTTTTCGATGCATCATTTCAGATTGCAAAAACCTCGCGTCATTTGCTGTAAAATAGCAAAGGGAAAAAATGACGCGAGCTTTTTGCAATATGAAGCGATGCATCGAAAAAACTGCTTTTGATTTTTTCGAAAATGCATCAAAGTAAATTGAACCTTAAATTCCTAAAATGTTGTCTATGCTAAGCTATGTTTGTTTTTAAAGCTGAGATCTTTAAAATTCACCATATTTGAATTCAGAAATCTTGCATGGATCAAGAATGTGAAAAACTGACCTAGTCTCAAATTAATGAAAATTTTCTCTTGTAATCATCAATAAAATGTCTAAGTCCGCGAATTCAAATGTTGGATCTCATTGTTTAATAAATACAATATGCTCAATCCGGTTTAGTGCCATTCAAATAATTTACATGTTACTTGAACAAATTTCAAATTTCTGGAGCATTTAACAACATTTCAAATTTCGGACTTCATAAAATCATCTAAATTATGCTAATTATGAAACCTAATCATCAGTTTGCATTCGGCTGTGGACACAGCAAGACTTGTTTCTCTAGGTGTCGATCACGCTATTGACGGTTGTTTACTCTGTCACGGTATTGTTTTCTTGCGCGTTAATTGCCTGCAGCTCGGTCAGTACTCTTTGTCGTCGCTGTTGGAGCAAAATTTTCGCAACAATGGTCGAAATAAAGCAATTTTTGTATTCGTCCTATCCAGATGAAAGCTCAAGGCCAAACATGGCCGAGATTTCAAACTTCGTTAAATCATAAGACGCGAATCATGGTGACATATACGCCACGTATTGAATTTCTGAGGAGAAGGCGATCTTCATAAAGTATAAATCTGAAGCAAGCACGGAGGATCTAATATTCCATTTTTTTAATAATTACTTTATTTGTACAGTTTCAATCGAATAAACTTTACAGAGCCGAGTTATCATTCCTGTTATACATTATTACTGTCTTATATTTAAAGTTAAAAGAACTGGACCGAGTACTCGCGGTTGTCTCGAGGTTAGTGGAGATTTACAATTTTTTGGATGGGAAAAGGGAAGAAGCAGGTTTGAAATGTGGTTTACGGTACAAATATTTAATTGACATTCCAATATGTTAATGGAAGAACTCAATTCCCCTAAATGTACAAAAAAAAAAACAAATATTAGTCCCTCGGCTCCGTTTAGCTTTTAGATACAATGAGCGTTCGAAAAAAATGAAACCTAAGACATTTTTGAAATTCTGCATATTATTTCTCAATAGACGGGGAGGTTTCTCCGGTTTTCTGCATTTTAAATAAAATGCAGCGACTTTTTTTTTCAGTGACACGAATTGCTGAAATCATTATGCCGGTATTAATTTTTTACCATAATTTGCTGTTTATATGAAACTAGGAAAAATATGTTGGGCAACCGGGAAAAACCGGGAGAATTTCTGATGTAGTCATTCCAGCTAAAATGCAAAGATAATGGGTCATATGAATAAATTAATCGAAAAGTCTTGAAAAAACTCTTAAACTCTCTACGTAGTTTATGAGCTGCCCCCCGCCCTTACCCTTATTATTTCAAGGTTTTTTTTTTTCAAAATAAAGTGAATAGTCTTGAGTTAGTACTGTTGCATTAATGGCCTTCGCTCAACTTCAACTTCTGTTCAATTTTCACACTGCCGTACTCTAGCGGAACTATCAATCTACAATCTTCAGAAGTTTCTACAGCTAATAGATTATCGCACTAAAGCTTCATGTTGATATTAGTATAGCATTTACTCCCAACTCTGAACATTTTATAGATTTTGATCCTTAATATGATCTTTTTTTTCTCTGTTCGGGACATAACACCACTGCGGCCAGTAATTTGATCTATTGTAGTATATCCCGTGTCCTTAGTTTAGTGCATGTCGTATTACTCCATCACTATTGAGAAATGATGAAGTATTCGGTTTTGATACAGTTGTCATTCTTGCCTTCATCGCAAGGAATCGATTCTAATTGAAAGGACCCTCTATTTATACCCTTCGGAGTTTTGGAACACCCTCCAAAGGCACCCCCCTTGTCAGTCAAAATTTGATTCCTTAGCAACAAAAATAAGCAACGGCACCGATAATGATCATGCATCAGAACCCTAGTCTTAACCACTTCAAACTAGGGAACAACGAATGGAAGATTAGGAATCACATAGATGAACTAACTAACTCATTTTTTCCTTGGTCCTTGGCCGAGGACTTATCACTATCAACAAGGCATAAAAAGTAACAAGGACTAAGATGTACCAAGTAACAATTTTGGTTTTATGAAGGTACTGTAGACCACGATTTAGCTTTGAAGAATGCTATAAAACCTCTATAAAGCTTGCAATGTTAGTTGGGGTGTTCCTTTGATTACTGAAAAATCCTGTTCCTTAGTTTGAAGTAGTCAAGAATCGGTGGTAGATCTTACATCCCGTAACGTACCACGAAAAGGTGATCTACCCACGTTACGGGGCATGTGATCTCTTATTTATTAAAGAATATTTTTTAGAAAAAGTGGTTTAAATTCATAAAAGTATGTATTTTCATGGGAAACTTTTCCTCTTCCTTTCTGAGTCGGATTTATGCTACGCCTTTAGACAACTATGCTTCGAGAATGAACCTAAATTCATCGATTTGCGACAAGGGCGTAGCCAGGTTTCGAGCTAAGGAGGGGCGAAAAAAAAATACTATGGAAAATTTGGCCGTATGTCATTTCACCGAAAGCCTTTGTATTGCTGAGTTTAGGGGGTAGTTGCCTCCCCCCCCCCCGTTGCCCCCTCTGGCTACGCCTATGATTTACAAGCTGATGTTCATTGTAGAATGACAGATATTTCCGGGTTACCGAGGAAATTCGAAATCACCGGGAAAAGCCCGTGGATTTCGATGATATATCGAATAAAATAAGATTGTGGACCTTAATAAAAATCTGGACCCTTGGACTGGACTAGATTTTCAGCATAAATCACTGTACAGAACTATTAAAAAAATGATGAAAACTCCATAGCAATTTTGTGAAGATTTCAGATTGAATTTAACGGATTCAGAGAAAATTTCCAAGGGAATTTTGGGAAGAACAC